GATCCAGCGGGCCGCCACTGATGCACGGTAGAGATTGCATCTTTAGATCTCCGATCTTGTTCACAAATGCACGGACTAGCGCTGTCTCGTTAGAATTTTGTAGGACGCGTTAAGAATGACAAAATATTCTCTGTATCTACTGGAACCGAGCCGCATAGCATGTATTCCACTATTTGCATTCACACCTGGGCTGTGTATATATATTGCCTTGGTTTGGCTTTGTAATCATTAGTGGTCTTGGGACTAGTTTGGGCCCTACCTAAGCTGGTCGAACGTTTCGTTTGGGTCTGTACCCTAGCTGCACTGATGAGGCCTGGAAGACCTAAACGGATCCGTCTGCAGATATTGGGATTCCTTCCAGTGGATGCTTAGTTTATTTTGTCATTCTGATCGGATTTTCTCTAATGTTCCGTTTTAATTTTAATTTTAAATTGTTTTGCATTATATGGCCGTTTGCTGTTTTATGGGTTTTTCCCATTAGCCTTTCATATGTGGAGGCTTTTTTACATGAACGAACAACTATATGAAAAGTGACTGTGAAGTTTTTATTGCTGTTGTTGATAATAGTATCTTTATCATTATTGCTGTTTTTATTATATTATTATCATTTTAATTATAATAATATTATATAATATATTGTAAGCCTAACAGTAGTATTAAAATAGTATAGTGATATACTGCAGTTAGTAATAATTCTCTAGTACTATAATGTTTTATACCTTATGATTTTATATTTGTTTTGTATTTTTGCAATTTTTGCCTGTGAGTGGGAACAACGCGTTCCTGTTGGACGACTTTTTGAAATGATAAAAAAATATGAGTATTAGTAGTAACATTAGCTATAGTAACAGTAGTAGCCGTAGCAGTAAGACCTATTTAGTATTTGTTGTAGTATTCGTACTTGATACGCATGGTAGTAGAAGTAATAATAATTTTAAAAAAAACAATTGTTTAATATGAGGCAGTACCTTCTGGTCCGAAGAAGTTACGCGTAATATAAATGCACGCGTCAAAGTGGTCTGGATTTGTGTCGTCCATAGTGTTAAACGGGAACATGTAGTGACCAACATTTTTCCTTGTACGTGATACGGATGACTTGTCAATCATAAGCGATGACTGTAAATAGAAATTGATAGTAGCCTATAATCATTTATTCATTTATTTATTACATACCGGTATTCGGCACACAAATCACAAATCAGGAAATGGGCATAGGGGTGCTAAGAGGACACCTAGGCTGTGAGCCCGGATGTAGGTACTCTTTAATCCCCTCTCCACATAAATTACAACACAGCTACTATGTCGTCGTCGTAAACTTCATCATCATCATGATTACAATATCATTATTTCTCGACAGATTCAAATTCACTCACTACGTGATTCTATGAACAACGCAACGCGACGACGAGCGCAACGGATCGTTTTTAATGACGATCCTTTCAGACTGCCACCGGCAATCAGCAGACGGCGTCGCGTCGTCTAGCGCTCGCAGGGAGCGAAGTTAGATTCGTCGTGCGACGGTCGTGTAACCGTTGTACGACGCAGTTGAGTGCCCGGCTTAACTGAATAACTTTACTCCGAACGATGTCGAGAAGACGACGAAAGGTAGGGCTAAAGCTAGACGTATCTTACACTAATATGAAACAACAGAGTCCAATAAAAGACACATCTCACCTACATTAAAATTAATGTGTTATACGATGTATCCAGACAAATAACAATACTAGTTATTCGTATTATTTTGATTTGTTGGTTGTATTCATTAACAAATGAATGTAGGTGAAACTTGTGTTTTAAGTAACAACATCATAATTATTATTACTGTTTAATTGCTATCGGTATTGCTGCCGTTGTTGTTGTTGTCGTTCTCGATCGCTATCGTTATACTGTGGTTGTCATTGTCAATATCTTTATCATTATCACAATTATTGTTATTTTCAACTAATTAATAAAGTGAAGAATAACATTATGGGTCGGGGTTAAGTCAAGACAATTTTGGTTCAATACACTATCCCATTGAACCTTGATCCATCCTTATGAACACTGCAAAATATATTTTTGATTTCGTAACGTTTCTACCGAGATCATGAACTGAAGTAACCTATGAGTTGACGTATCTACAATTCCTTGACTATAAAGCCTGTCTGACATAAAACGCCAACAAGAAAGATGTTCTAAATGAGTAAAAAAAAAAAGAAAAAACCTTTCAAGAAAAAAAAAAACAGAAACAAGATAAGCAGATAAATACGGAGAAGGCTAATACAAACTATCGAAAGGTGCCGTTGATGATAATTGACAGTATAATAAGCCTACCACAATCTTGTTGTTAAGGTAAACTAATTTGAACAAACAGATATAATATTTGAATTAGTAGGTTGATTTTCTTTTTTGTTTTTTAATTAAAAAAGAGAACAATAATTTCATAAACGACTGTTCTTTTGTTTTGATAGAGAACAGATCTTTAAATTACCTGGTAATTAACTTTAAATTATGAAATATCGAAGTAAAAATATGTAATCAGTAATTAAATACCGAAGTGTTTTGACATTTCTCATAATTATTAGGAGTTCATGGACTTGTTCAATGATTCAATTATTTTAAACGTTCTACATATTTTATACAATGTAATATATTATATCTTTCGATATAATTGTTTATACCAAGTTGATAAATTGTTATACCTTTATTCCTGAAATAGCGTCATCTAACAGTAAATTATTATTATACCGCTCTGCATAGCATCGAGCACTATACGTTGCCTGAACTGACAACTTTATATTCATTTATATATATATATATATATGTATATATATATATTTGATAATATATAAATTAGATATAAACTGAGGAAATTTGAAATTGACTTACGTTATGTTGGTCGAGGTAGATAATCTTACTGATAACAAGGTTGACATTAAACTTGAACGAAGAATCTCTAAACGCATCTGCGGCCTTAAAAGAGGAAATTGACAGGTAAATACATAACCTGCAATGACAAATTATTGATGCATACGTATCATAGACATCGCTGACGATTACAAATATTTAAAAAGTTACCTCTGCATACTGGCGATCTACGACACAAATGCCTCAATTTCGTCCAAGTTCGAACACACGAAATAAAATATGTATTTGTTTTTCTCATCTTCGTCACGTCACAAAGACTAAGACTAGGGAGAATTCGCAACCTCACGAAAACGACAACGAATACGAATACGTCTCATCTTCATTGGAATTCGTGCCTATAACATTCTTAACAATATGATGGAAGTACGACTTGAATCGGCTAAACGCTGTGACAGGTTCTACTGTAGAGGAATGGTTGTCTAAAATTCTGATGACGTAACCGTATTCGTTATAAGCTTGCGAAAACTCCCTAATTATGCCAAACAACGAACTTAATAACGTTTCAAAGTGACAATCACTTGACAAGACAAAAATACCTAAAAACAAAACAAAACCTATATGATTATATCATATATTATTATTTATAATAAACGGTTTAAAATACAGACACGATGTTTATATGGAGTGGCGAATCGGTCCAGCAGGGCCTATTGTATATTAATATGATGTTTTTATAATAAAATATTACTAGGCCTCTCTTTTTTTTTATGTTTACTCATTTTGTAATAGCAGTGTACTTCCGAGGCTTGAATTAACGGCGTCGATGTGATGTCGGCCCTCGTATGTTCGGTTTTCTTCGGGCTATCAGCATGCAATTAAGCTTCTGCCGGTAGGATGTTACCCTTGTTAAGAGAATTGGAACTAGCACCAAATTTAATATCGTGTGTACGTAACGTAAAGAGACCAGATTTACTGAAGGAGGCGGTTAATGTTACACCGGCATTAATGCCAGGATAAAAGTTCCATCGTTAAATTTTAAAGCACTCGTACGTACAGTAGTTCAAGGTTTTGGATGAGCAAACTGCTAGGCCTATTTTAATATTGATTGAACTAAATATGATGTTGATCAAATAACTTCATTTAGCTTCAATTGTAGTAATTATTTCTAATTTCATTTGTGTTAGCTAATAAGGGTTGTTTCTCACCAGTAGTTTCCAATCCGCATTCTCGGACCATTTTCAGCTGAATGACATTGGCAAGTGTTTTCAGCTGAATGACATTGGCAAGTAGCCAATGTCTACGTCACCGATGATGAAGTTATTTCTAATATCAATTTTGAACAATAATTATTTTGATATGCTGATATTGAACTGAATTTTCATATTCCTATGCGTATTATTACCAACGCTATATGCAGATAAGAGTATATTAATTTTTGTTTCAAATTAATTGTCTTCCATGCGTGGTACTGGTCATTGTTATTTTTGTATTTTTTTTAACGACTCTAACTCAAACAGAGGTAATTTAATAATAATAATTTGTTTGCCGACACAGACACCTTTTTTTTATTTTGTGTGAGTGCCATATAAATTCAATGTTTCGTTTTTAATTAGATATTATTAAGAATTACTGATGATATTTTTTTAATAAGCAACTAAATATTAGATTAGAATACTTCTTCTCTCAGAGAATTTTTGGAGTTGCATGTTATTGTACTATTTTAATATAATCAGTAAATTACATGGTTAAAAAATAGTATGAAATCCCGAGTGCCAAGTTGTTTGCTAGAGAACTGTTAGCCTACTAATACCAAGTTTTTTTTCAAATCTTTTTTGTTTAAGTCTGAGAGTGCTATTTGCAAGCTTCTAGATGTGGTCCCATGTTTGTAACACCATAGGTAGGCTTAAGACTTGTTGGTTTCGGCCCCTACTGCCTATGCTGCCGCCGCCACTGAATTTGAAGTAATTATCTTCTTTAAAACACTGAAACACGATAGTGGTCGGCTGTGTTCTGTGGTATAAAATAAAAATGATTTCTGCGACATCAAACTAAATGTAACTGTTTCTGATACTATTTAACGTACAAGGGTGGTGGTGGGTCAATATTTATGCTGTAGCCTACAACAATGATAGTAGATATCGTCAAAAAACCATTCCTACTCCTACTCCTTAATCTGACACGGAGGGATTTCATTTCCACAAGCATTTGTGTCACCTGAGTGTAATTTTAATAATCCGATAACTGAAAAATATCATCCTAATGCTGCAATGCTTATTGGAATTGTATGTACAAATTACATGTGCCGGAAGATAGGAAGGTAGCATTTGTTGACAAACATTACATTAGAAAGGTTTTCTCTTTTTTGTTATCTTGTGTGATTCAGATCCAATGATTCATCAAAATAGGCTGTATGGGCGTATATAGATAGTTATATTTATGGCCCACTAAGACCTTTTTTCTAAGTCCCATTACTGCATCTCTTTCCTTTATTTCTAAAATTCATATTAGTGGAATGGCAATGTTAACTTACTATATTCATCAACATTAGTATATAATCCTTCGTTCCTTCACCATGAAATGCTTTAACCGAGTAATCTACCAAAATGGCTAATTCGATGGTAAACTTTTGATCAAAAAAGTGCATTTTGAGAAAAACGCATTTAAAGACTTTTGAAAATAGTATTTTTATTAGCATACCTTCTTTTATATGAAATTGCCTAAATTTCTATATGGTTATAGTACATAGTACATTGAATCCTAATAGTGTGTATAAAATATATGACCATAATAAGATTGGTTAATTAGCAATTCATCAATAAACTTATTCGTCACTTCGAAAAAAAAATTTAACGTACAAATTGCAGTAATTTAACATTCGCTACACATTCGCCACTTTGTGGGGGGGGGGGAATCAAACCAACTAACATTCGACACTGGAAATTCAAGCCAGTAGGCAGAATTTTTGATGTGAAGGGTCGGGTGCGTTTTAGCGAGCAAGGTGAGAACCTTAGGCCACAGGACCTGGGCCATCTTGGAATCCCTAGGGGTGCAGGGGCAGAGTTCTGGTGGAGTCGGGGGAGGGTGCAAATCTCTCCGAAGCGCCAATAAATTTGCATTTTGAGTGGATTTGCCGTACGATTGAAATCGAAACGGTACTGGGTTTGGCACAGGCGTGGCACGAGGGAAGAACGGAGGGGGAGGGGTGGGTTCAGGGCGCTCCGTCGGGGAGAAAAAACACAATTCGTCGGGGAGAAAAAAATTATATGTATTTTCATATTAGTTGATTTTAAAATCGATTAAATAAGCTTTTGAAACCCCTAAATTGTCAAAATTTTCGGGGATTCGCCCCCTGGACCACTTTAGAAAGAAGCGACGTTCGACCACGCCCACTTTGCTCTCGTTGTCGAAATCGGCCCCTTGTCCGGGCATTGCCCCCCCCCCCCGTCTGGCAAATCCCAGCGCCACCACTGATTTGGAGCCATTTGTAGAAAAAGCCTTCATAACACCACCGGCTGTATAAAATGTATTATAAGATTGAAAATGTTAATCTTATTATTGTAGTCAAATATTATTTCCACGTTTAAATTATTGTTATATACATAGTTAATGTATATTATAGTAATTTAAAATGTATATTTATATTATAAAGTATTGTTAAAATAAGAATACTGTTTACGTCTCAAATAAAAATATATATTAGTTGTATATAAACTATAACATAATATGAATGTCTTATTTGTAAAATATTTTAAATGTGAAACAAATGATCATATAGTATTTGTATTGGTCTTAGATCGTTTAGAGGCATAATAATATGACAAATATAATGTTAGTGTTAAAATGTTTTTTATATAATAAAGGATACAGGGAGAAAGAAGAAAAGCAATAAGATCCGGAGTGGCTCAAAATTGTACCGAAAATTATATAATATTGATAATAATTAATAATTATATATATCATCATATAGGCCTATTATATTTTACGAGTTTTATTATAAGTCATATTAAATGTATGTGCGTAAGCGTAAAAACTTCTTAAATATACAAGGCGTGAGTGTGCGCTGAATATGTACCAGTAGCTTTTCTCGAAAAATGCGTTATAATAACCAATAATACGAAAACAAATCGTTTCATGTTAAATCCTCTTTAATTAAAAAAAAATAACCGTACCCTCTTTAATTTAAAAAAAATAACCGTATAAAAAATAACAATAATGATTAAAATCATTCAAAATCATAATGGAAATTAATTAATTTTTGAACGTAATTTAGAACTAGTACAAAAGATTAATTTAAGTTTCTTATTATAATTAATTTATTTAAAAATATAGGTATTGTGTTAGCCTATGACCTACACGAAGCATGAGCTCGTGTAGACCAAACCAATGCCGTTTCGTTTTAAATCGTACAGGAAATCCACTCACGATGATACGCTCATTTAATTTATGCTTGCACGCAGGCGCGGATTCAGGGTGAGAAATAAAAATAAAATGTTGACCATTTTTCTAACAATCATACTTACTTTCCTTCATACTTATTTTGAACAGTATCATTAGGACATTGTTTAAATTCACACTAGCCTATATCTTACACCTTTACACTGATTGTACTGCAGGCCCTATCAGAGAGGTCCCATTACATTATGGTCTTCCATATACTATGCGCATAATACAGTGCATGACAAACGTTACGCTACTAATTGGGAGAATCTCAGCTCAGTCCTACTTGTGTCTATGTTAGCATTGTTTTAAAGCAATAACCTATCAGACATTCACATGAACAACAAAACCAATGAAAATATATTTTGCTTAACTATTGTTTTCAGCAACAATTGCGTATCCAGAATTTAAGGAATGAGTGGTGGGTGCTAATAAAATGAGAGTCCACACCACGTCAGCGCCACTGCGGTTGGCGGTGATACGAAAAGTTCGGTATTTTACACCTCTGGGTGCCTGGAAATGGAACTTAAATTGCCATTTACTTTTTTATTTATTTTGAACGAATTGAGTAAAAAAAAAATCCGAAATAATTAAATAGGTACCCGAAAATGACACTTAAATAATTACAATTCTAAAAACTACCATATCCAACTGAACCCCACCATGGTGGTGGCTTAGGTGAAAAAGTTTGAGACTCAAAAAAAATAGCACTTGATTAGTACAAAACTTACTATAGCTACCTGAGCCCCACAATGGCTTTGGGGCGCAGATGAGTAAATTTTAACAATTTGAGACTTCATAGTTGCCCGAAAACGGCAATTTAAGACTTTCAGATGCCGGAAAATGGCACTTTAATACATAAACACTACGAAAATTACTATATCCACCTAAGCCCCATTATGGATGAGGCTGAGGTGAGAAAATTTTAAGAATAAAACACACTTTTGTCACAGTGTGTCCACACTGTGGACTACTATGTGAATTTCTCTCTGTGTACCTTATGTAGTAACACACTGTGATTGCTGTGGCTGAATTTAAAGGGTGGTGCTGAAAATTTTAAAGGATGGATACATTTCTTACTACTTATGGTGTCGGACACAACTCAGCATGAACAGTGTCCTACAATTTAAATTTCATTTATTCGATAACTTTAATTTAATTTATTAATGCAAATAATATGTGTACACTTAAATAACCTGTTCAAATCTCTATCCACATCAACACTTAGTGATACGCATCCTTGGATATGTATGAAACAGACTCCATCTTGTAGGTATTAGTTTTGATGAATTGTTACCTACAAGATGGAGTCTGTTTTACTGTATTATACAAAGATGCTTATCACTAACTGTTGATGTGGATAGAGATTTGAACTGGTTCTCCCTAGAGTCCAATGCCATGTCCTCCGAATCAGACGTATATTTAGTTGACTATTAAGATTTAGATTTAGTGTTTCTTTTTTAAAATTTTATACATCACTGCACACACAACGAGCAAAGATAACAGAAAAACAATACAGAAAAAGCAGCAAAAGGGAATAGATGAACAGGTTTCAAGCACTGCCTACTAAAATGATTTAACAGTATGAAATATTTGCATATAGGCCTAGTCATGAGATGAACACAATCAACTCACTGTATTTCTTTCAATATTGATCGATTCAGACGGAAGCAACATGCTCATGGAATTTTAAGTATTGAGAACCTTCCAATTATCGTAGAATTATGCTTTAAAAGGCACTATAAAAACATTTTCATCGTCATATTGGGCCTATACACTGAGAAACAAACAGCTGCACGTTGCAGGTTTTAAATGAACGCAATCAACTCACTGTACTTCTTTCAATATTGATCGATTCAGAAGGAAGCAACATGCTCATTGTATTTTAAATATTGGGAACTTTCCAATTGTCGTAGGATTTTGCTTATTAAAAAGCAATATAAAAAACATTCTCATCGTCATATGGGCCTTTTGCAATACACTGAGAAACAAACAGCTGCACGTTGCACGTTCAGTAGGGTAATTATTCAGACTCCGTCGTCAAAAAGCACAATCTAACAATATTTTCATCCTACTAAATTATAATTCAAGTGTTTTGCTAATTTCCTTACAATTTTTACAGGTTAATGTTTCATTTCTTACCTTACCTTAATTACCTTCTTCGCGTCATGTGTCGCATAGGCCTCAACAGAATGCCTCCATCTATCCCTGTTGGCTGCTGCAACTCTAGCTGGTCCCCCCACCCCCACCATGATGTCCATCGTCATTTATATTTCGTTCTTTTTCCACCATTCGTCTCCATGTTGTTATTGGTCTTCCTTCCGGTGGCCATGTCAATGCAGTGTTGCAGTCATTCCCTTGGTCTCTTGTTTGTTTAATGTTTCATTTTTAGGTAAATGTAATTGTTTACGTACCTACAAGATTGGGTCTACACACTTAAATGTCAAATGAACTCATCAAAATATTTAGGCCTACTACTTCTCGAAAATAGAAGTAAACACCAACACATTATTCTAATGTGAGTTTTTATTTTACATTTCTGTGCTAAAAATTAGAAATAAACGGAACATGTGAATATATATACAAGCCATCATAATACAGGCGCGGATCCAGACCTTCGCCCATTTCGACCAGGCGAAGGTCAGGATGAGAAATAAAAATAAAATGTTGATCATTTTTCCAACAATCATACATAATTTCCTTGACACTTATATCGAAGGTCTGGATCCGCGCCTGTATTATATTGTATATATATTCACATGTTCCGTTTATTTATAATTTTTAGCACAGAAATGTAAGATAAAAACATAGAAGTGGTTGGCGCACCGGTTTTTGGCTTGGACTCCCAACCTTGAGGTCGGGGGTTCGAAACTCTCGCTGTGCAAGTCGCTTGTGTCCTTGGGCAAGGCACTTTATCTACGGTTGCCTCTCTCCACAAAGGAGTACAAGTGGGCGCTGATTATTAGCCGCAATATTATGGAGATATAATTTAATTTAATAATTTCGTTTAGTATTCAATGTGATCCATATGTGTTTGATCCAATGACCGGGGTAATAATGTAAAGTGCTTAGGGGCTTTGTTAAGGCATTAAGCGCTATATAAGAACGACATATTATTATTATTATTATTATTATTATTATTATTATTATTATTATTATTATTATTATTATTATTATTATTGAACATTATCATTAGGACATTGTTTAAATCTACACTAGCCTATATCTTACACTTTTACACTGATTGTACTGTAGACCCTACCAGAGGTACATTCCCATGTAATTATGGTCTTCCATATCTATAGCGCATGATACAGTGCATGACAAACGTTACATAACCACCACTACTAATTAAGAGTCGCTCAGCTCAGTCGTACATGTGTCTATGTTGGCACTGATGCTGTGTGTTTTAACATTGTTTTAAAGTAATAACCTTTCAGACATTTCACATGAACAAAAAAACGAATGAAAATATTTTTGGCCTCGCTGTTGTTTTCAGCAACAGTGACGTATGCAGGATTTAAGAAAGGAGGGTGCTGATGAAATGGTTGGCGGTGACGCAAAAATTTCAGTACTTTATACCTCTAGATGCCCGGAAATGGAACTAAAATTTTCCTTTTAATTCTTTTTATTTAAATACTTACAATTATAAAAACTACTATATCCAACTGAGCCCCACCATGGTTGGGGCTCGGGTGAGAAATGTTTGAGAATTTGAGACTCGTATAGATGCTTAAAAATAGCACTTGAATAGTACAAAATTTACGATACCTACCTGAGCCCCACCGCGGTTTTGGGAGGCAGATGAGTAAATTTTAAGAATTTGAGACTTTAGATGCCCGAAAACGGCACTAAATACTTAAAATTTATGAACACTACCAATCCATCCACCTCAGCCCATCATAGTTGAGGCTGAGGTAAGACAATTGTAAGAATTTGAGAACTTTTAGATGCCGGAAAATGGCACTTTAATATATAAAAACTACGAAAATGACTATATCCACCTGATCCTAATCCATCATGGATGAGGCTGAGGTGAGAACATTTTAAGAATTGGGGACTTTTAGAACATTCCTGATGATGAAATAATTAATGTCGAAATATTGAATCCCGACACGATCGCGTGCATTTCGATGTATACTATCTTATATGAGATTAATTAGTGAACCTTTCGGGGGTTTTTTCGACTTTTAGATGACAGAAAATGGCACTTTAATACATAAAAACTAGGAAAAGTACTATATCCAGGCACCCTGAGCAACCCACCCCGCATACGCCACTGCAGCAATATTCTTCCTTATCTCTCTCCCTCCCCATCTCTCTATCTCTCCCCATCGTGCACACCCGGTTAATTATAAACAAAGTTATAACTTTTCTTTATGACTGTTCTCTACAAATCTCTGTTTTCCATAAGTTGTAGAATGTACTGCTGCTGTGTGTTTAGATCCTTTTATAATTGCTTGATGTATATAGCCGGGGCCGTCCTTGCTTCTTTTTCCCATGGGTTGGTTTCCAAAAGAGAACCCTTGAAATAACTTCATTTTTACTTCTGTAGCAATGTCCAGCAAAATGCTAACCTTCGTGCCTGTAGGTTCTTGATGCAGGTGGAACGTCTCCATACAGGTCTTTATTTGTAACAGGCCTATGTTGTTTGTAGTTGATATTCAAGGCGTGTCTGAGTAATCTATCTTGTATAACAACCATCAAGTCCTTTCTCTCTCTCCAGAATCCGTTCGTTTCTTTTTATAGAAATTCCTAATTAGCAATATTTGTTTTAAAACCTTAGGTCACCTGAACGTTAGAGGATTTCCACATGCAGTGCGGATTCAATGGGAGCAGTCGGCCCGGGCCCCCGTAACTAGGCCTATTTAAAAATTATTTTTTAAGAATGCCAAAAAACTGAAAATTCAAATCCTGAGAGTATTATTCCGGCCATCTAGAGGCGACATTATTTAAATTTTTCTTAACTCAGCCCCAAACATGGTGTGGCTGAGGTGTCTATCTGTGAAGGGACCTCTCTGGGCACCCTTTTTTTTAAATTTCTGGACCCAACACTGCAAAGACCACCCCATGTGTGCGAAGGTCAGAAAAAATCCTGGATCCGCGCCTGTGCGTGGGAAATGATACATTTCTGGTTTGTAGTAAACAAACCGATTGATATAGCGACATTCGTCAGTTAGCTAATTAATATTCTTCCTTAATTACTTATCTAATTGAATCATTTTTTTTCATAGATTCTACAGAGTAAGACAACTTAAATCCACAAATTAAAAAAAATCGATTTTTCCACATTCGTCACTACGTTATATAAGGGACGAAATGTATGTTCCTTTAAATTAGTTACTGTATTTACTTTTATCAATGTTTGTAATTAATATATTATTTTATATTTTAATTAACATAAGAAGCAAATTCAGTAGTTCGTATTTAGGTTTTTCCGGATATATATACTGTAGCTAAATTTTGATTCTAACCAAATGTCTACAGCAACCCATACTAATATAACACGGGATATCTCTTAATTGGGAGACTTTTTCAGACCACTACATACCGTACTACATTATCAGCGTGCAATCCTAACACGACTTAAAATGAACACTGTGTAATTAATTTGATTACCGGTTGTTTATCATATCTTTGCTAGGCGTCTAGACCGATCTCTTCGGTGTGTGAACACAGAGTTTAAATATACAAAAGTTCGAAGAAAGCTCTGTCCAGAACTGTTGTGTACCCATTATATATTGATGATATGCCTATATATGGTTATGATATGTTACCTTATTACCATATTATAGGCATGTGATACGTTTTTGTAAAATAATTGGTAATCTGGACAGGGCTTTATACTTTGTGTCCCTTATGCGAATAGCAGTTAACAACGAGGGAAAAATAATTTACTCTTTTTTTCCGAAGAGTGCAAGCGTCAATACCGCGTGGATGGATCGTATCGCGCAAATGGCAGAGAGACGGTGCTATACTTTAATTTTAACCCTCATTGTCAACGTGAATGAAAACCATAATGCTTGGTGGGCTTTTTTTTTTTAATTTAAATTGGCCTTTCCGAAGGGACATTGTGAGAGGTAGGCCTATAGCACAGATGGTCTGGAGTCTAGATATGAATATATTTTATACTATTAGTGTACTCATGTATAAATTTTGGACGGTAACGAATATAGGTTAATTACACTAACTGACAAATGGAATGCTTATTAATGATCACTCTATTAATTATTTGATTAAAAAGTGACGACACTTACAAATGCTCCATCGCAATTGTCAATCACAACTCTGGAGTTCAAATCATTAATAACAGAGCCAATAAGCAGACATTTGCTCGGAATCCTATTCTTCATATTTCGATTGATGTCTTCTACTGCTTCCGCTGTTAAACGGGAATCCCTTGTAAGGCTCATTACCAACAGCTCATCATCTAGTTTGATTGTGTAGTGCTGCACCACAGCGCTTTTTATTCCAGGTGTAGTGTCAGATTTTTGTTTCTGATTTGGGTAGAGTTTATTCTCAGACATCGCGAAAATATCGTGAGAAATGAACTTGCCTGATGCCGTGGAATGATACGGGCGGACATAGTTTATATCTGAAGTAAAGAAAAAATTAACAACTAAAATGTGTTTTAATATCGTAAAAATCGAGAGATATTTTCGAGACGTGTTTATTTCTGAATGTCAATACCGGTACCGGTTACGTATCTTATCAATCATTTATAAATGATAGCCCTAAGTAGAATATAATCTATGGATAGCTGTTTAAATGTAAAACCCATCTATCAATATATTAATTTATCAAACTGATGACATCTACTGAGTACAGTACTTAATACTGAAATGTTTGTATACCGTAAGCCATACCTGCTAATCCGTCTTTCGTGTGAGTCCATCCTCCTGCAACAACCTGCAGATGAAAATGCAAATTAAAAAATAAGATGAAACTCCATCATAAGATACATAAGATAAACACTCTCGGATGGGATAGTAAGGTTTTGATGGGTTTACCATTTTGAAATTTTGAAAATTATCTATTAATTATCTCAATTAATGTAACTACAGTACTCGTTGAATGTTCATAATATTTTCATGCAGATTGAGAATCTGGTAATTTTAAAGTTTTTTTTTTAATGTAATATTCCATTTTTTAAATTACCAACCTTCTAAATAATCCAGGCTCTTATAGTTAGTTATTTACCAAGCTCTTCGCCCACTCTTCAAATTCTTTTACTTTTTATATCACATATTTTGTGTTCTATTTTATGTATTTTGCACCATGAAACTTGTTAACGATGGCCATCGGTTCGGGCCACCAGTCGTCAAATATCTGGAGCATCTGGAGCCGGTACACTGGCCGTCACTGTATTTTGGCAAGGGCAACTCTACCTGCCATCACTTCTCACTCACCTTTCCATAGGCCTGACAAGTGTACCGATTAATAAACCTAATTACTGTACAGAGCAATCGTAATTCAGTCCACTTACAATGCGAGTCCAGATTATTACCTTTTACCTTAAATTGTCTGCCTAAACCAGATGAAAACCAGTTAAAATAAATTAAAATCAACGTAAAACTTGAATTGAAATTGAAACTTAGTCGGAACTCTTATGACCAGTCAAAACCTGCTAAACAAGTGAACTTGAAAAAGGCAATTGAAGCAGATGAGGGCCAAGTTTAAATTTTCCAAAAATATGTTACTAAATTTTGCAAAAGTTTTCAACGGGTTTTCAAGTTTGCATTATATACTGATCAGTGATTTATAAGATAAGATGAGATAAACTTTATTGTCATGACCACAAAACAAGGTGTTGATGAAATTTGGTTTCCTTGATGCTTAAACTACAATACATAAATAATACGGTAAAAAATATATTGAACACAAGGGATTAGTTGCACTTAAAATATAAAATACACGAAAGACTAAAATACAAATTATATAGAACAATATAAAATTAATTATACTATCTTTGAAAAATTGAGTTGAAAACATGAGTTGATTTATGAACGAAGGAGTTCCTGCACCGTGTAGTCTTGCATTTCAAACGGGACGGAGTATACCGTACCAGAGTTGTTTACAACATAATCGTTGTTTAATGGATGTGCAATATATTTTAACTTGTGGTTAGGTTCACCTTATGAGTTATTTGTTTTTCGGTTGTTATGTTGCCCCACGTTTGTAGAGATCAGGAATCAGAATGATTGCCAAAGAAATAAAAATGTTATTGGCGAAAGCCTGCTGAACATGGTATTGTCGTAATTGTAGTTATTCCAGGAAAATGCATGTTTATGTTACTGTTCATGTTGCTGACGTAGAGTCTGCAAGGAGGATTGCACTCTCGTGTACCGGTATTTCGTAACTCGGTTGCGTAGTGATGTAACTGACAGAAGATGTATTAAATACATCAAGTGAGATTGCGAGAAACTTACAAAATTACAAAATTATTTCATATAATATATCCGATAAAGACTCTCAAATTAAAAGTAAAATAATGGTGAGATATATATCAGTTAAAAATAATCGTAATTTACTAAATAGGAATTAATAAAATCGGAAAAGCAGTTAGTTTAAACACAGATCATGTATATAGGATCTGTGGTTTAAAGAACGGACGAATATAATTATCTGACCTGAATGGGCATGCCTTTCGACAGACCTTTTGAAGGTGTATGACTAAATAATTATGTGTAGTACAACGTCAGTTTGGTTATAGCCATAAATCTGAATTAAAACGATGACGTCAAGGGGAGTTTTGTATTTACAACTTTTATTTAGAATTACTCTACAAGTGCAACTATTATTATTATTCACTCCATTTTGAGGTCACTAATTATACGTGAACCTTTCTAATAATCGTGATTTGTTACAAGTTCGCAAGTTAAATTCTGTATATGAGTATCAGTGTGTTTATGCATGCTATCACTTTTGTTTGTAATGATTTACGAATTCACCAACCTAATGCTGTTACATATTCATATTGGTCTTCTATTTGAAACTCAATTCTGTGAAGTTCAAATGTCCAAATTGGAAATTGAAGCTGGAGGGAGTTTGAGTTCCCGGGTGATGAATAATGTTGATTGCAGTTTTTTCCCCCTCTATATATTCCTCATTATAATTTTTTAGCCAACAGTTAGATAATTCTTTGGAAGAATTGAAGTGAACTTTATGCACTACAAATCGGTGTTATAAAACATGATTTTACATTACGTATTATTAGTTATAAGTAATCATCGACATAATTAAACACACTTTTTTTTATAAGAACCAGTAAATTTTTCATAGGCTCAGTGCTCTTATTATTTCGTCAATTTAAGGCTCAAAATGTTCTTACTTTGTTCGTATTTTAGAAACTTTCAGAGATAGAAAATTATTATTGTACAGCAGTATATTACTCTACTGTATTATGCAGGGTATTGCATAGTCACACTGCACATAATGGTACAGATAAGATTTTTTTTTTTGATATTTTTTTTTTTATGAAAACCTCAATTTGTTATTATTTTGTTCATATTTTTAAAGCAATTTCAGCCTTAGTGTTCTTATAAAATGTATTCTTATTGAAAAAATGTATAACTACAAAGTATTAATTTAAACTAATCAAGGTTACTAGAAGAAAAACGATAGCACTTTACACTTGTCAAAAAAAACCTGAGACAACTAGGCCTATAATAATTCAAATTACGCGATGAATGATCTTAACAAATGCGAAGAATTCCCCTTAACGATGTCGAAATATCTAACATTTTATTGTGCACTTGTGCATCAGTACATAGCATAGGCTTGTGCGTTGTTCATAATCTCACTTTTTCTGGTCGTTTTTCAAAATATAAATAATTGATTTAATAATTATATAACAACGCCGAGTTGCTCGAGTGAATGCAGCTGTATTGGATTTGACATTGGTGTTTAGACGGACTTGTGTCAAATGGTCAACTCATATCGTCCTTCCAATTTCGCGTTAAGTAGGCCTAGTTCCCCTCATTTGCATTATGAAGCACGAATAGAGAATGTCAGTTTAATAATCAAATGTAGGAGGTTGCTTACCGGTTGACCATGGTAGGCTCTCTATTGCGGTTATCATGTTTTGTTAAATGCAACACAATGGACTATGCATTTATATTATTATTTTGGGCACATATTAACAATACATAACAAACACTAATATTATGTTATATGTACTGTGGATGCAGTGCATTTACTGTTATTTTCAAAGATTTATTGTAACTCTAATGGATTTATTTGCTGCATTTTTGTAAAGAATGATTCATTTAAATCAGGTTTGCTGCATAGCACTATAAACACAATATAAACAAACAGATAAATAACAACAATGACTCGAATAGGAACGTTGTAAAAATCGTACCAAGCATAAGTTATCAGTTGTATGAAAAAAGGTGTCTCCAGCGAGATTCGAACCTGTAACCTCTCGCTATGAAGGCGAGTATGAACCATTAGACCGCCGACATTTATAGGATATAGGCGAAGATGTAACTACCAGGTACTTTTTCTCCTACAACAGCTGACTGAAACGTTCGCAGGGCTGCAGGGGTGTTACACACACGTAAACAAAGTTCTAGTCACATTTCAACCAACTGTGCTAAGCCTGTCTCTTATACACATCTAGATGTGTATAAGAGACAGATATAATTGAATTACAATGAAAAAAGTATTTCAACCGAGAATCGAACCCAGGACCTTTCTTGGATATTTACAGCTATCTATATCCAATACTTCCTTCTTTTTTACTGTTATTTAAAGGTTCCCAAGCGTCAAATAATATTGTTATATTCGCGAACATTTTTCACCATTGCAAACATTGAGCTGAGTGCTGTATGCTAGTAAACATCGTTCCCAAGACCTTATACTTCATAAACCTTATAGCTTGAAGCTACCGTATTTGCTCCATATGAAAGGGTGGTGCCAGCGCGGGGCTTCAAATCAGTGATTAGAATCAGGGGAGGAAAACATATGTGTATAATTCACTTATTAATTGACCCCAAAATCGATTAAATAAGCCTTTGAAACCTAAATTGTCATATTTTTCTTCACCCCTGGACCACTTTTTCAGAGAATGTCAGCAACACCCGACCACGCCCACTTACGCTCTTGTTGGGGACATCGCACCTCCCTCCCCTACCCTACACGTCGGGCAAATCATGCTCATATTTATACAAATTGTGTTGAATGACTGTCGATCTCTCGTATTCAGCGCGTTTCTTTCAAACTTGTAATGTGAGGAGCAACTCCCTGGGTTAACAGACACAATATAGTACAAAGCGGAATGTACATAGAGTTCGAAACCCTGACCTGTGATAGCCTACTGTATGTTGAGCGAGCACACGATTAGCAACTGCTGCGCCAACTGCTCACATTTCCAAAGTGTAATGACATGATATATAATGCTAACTCAGTTAGCGTAAGTAGAAACAATTCATGCAAAGTTGCTTTACTTATTTAAGTGGATATTCAGTTGTTACTAAATTCATTACATGTCCGTTGCCAAAATAAATATTGAATTTAATCGAAAGCAAGTCTTGGCACCAGGGCATATGTAGCGGTGCAGTTGAATACTTGGCCCCTACATGCCGAAAACCCAGTAAAATTCCATGCGATGGTCCTGTTTACCATTGCTTAGCATAAATTACTTCATGATAACATTGCATTTTAATTTTTATAATAGCAACAACCAGCAATAAAGAAAACGTACAGGTACGACTTCACTGCATAAAGCACATAACCTTTAAAACCCGGGTCCGCCCGGATTTAAAGCATAGGTGCGGCAATAGAAATTCTTGGTTCTACATCGGTTTATATCAATTTTATGCCCATGTCTTGGTTTAATTTCCTTGTTATACATCTATAGTTTGGGGGAACCGACGTTGCCTATATCGACAGCTAAGGGCAAGTAGAACCAAGGTAAACGGACAACTTCTAAAATTTATCATCAGGAACTACTGTATATGATGTTTCGTCTATTTCGACCCCAATAAAACACTAAGACCGATGTTTTCAATGCGTTGCTGGTTAACTTTATTTCTTCCAATATAACGGTACAAAAGATACCATTTCCAACCAACAGTACGGTACCTATGCGGCATGAGTACGTTACTTTATTTTCATATATTATATGTAATACACCTAATCAGTATTTTTGAAGCCTAACAAAAATATTTATATTTAGGGACGCCTCATATCCCCTAGGCAACTTTGTAATGTATTTGATGTCAGCAACGTCTCATGCATTTGAATACGCCTACATATCAACCAACTTCGTTATTTTCAATCATTTTATCATGCCGGTATAAAGTGCTATAGTATTTAATTTCAAAATGTACTGTACCTATGCGGCATGAGTACGTTGTAGCGTTACTTTATTTTCATTTTATTATTACTGTCCTCGTAAAACTATAAGCGTATGTCATTATGTAGGCCTATATTTATACATTTGTTTAGCAGAGTTTGTTTGCAAATAATTACAGTATGTTTAAAAAAATAAAAAAAACGTAAAGATGTTATACAGCCGGATTCCATTCGATTCCGTTTCTCTTTATACGATAATTCTTCTAATCCAGTTTACTACACGTTAAAATGCTTAAATCTTCCAAATAAATTTAGGCCTACCTTGTAAATTACATTGTTTAGCATAAGCATCAGGTAAAAACGCCGCGTCAACTTGATCCCGCCAGGCATGGTTGTCCTAAAAAAATCCAACTTGTAAATGTCTATTAGTAAAAGTCGTTCGGCTACCAAAGTTGCACTATGTCTAAGTGTCGTGGTGGAAGTAGTTCGGGGCGTTAACTACCGTAGGCCACATAGTAAAATCGGATGAAGCCTTGATATCTTCTGAGCGTAGATAGCTGATGAAACACAAAATATACCGTCTAAACGCAGTCTAGGAAACTGCGTTGCTGTTAACGGAAGGATCGACACCCCATGACCCCCGTGTACGTCATTCGAGTTTTTGCATCTCACAACATTTCCTTATTTACTGTCGACCCAACTTTTGATATTAATTCAATTCTATATAAAGGTAACAATCCTAGACAATAATGGATATTGATGGAAAAATGAAATGGTTGATGGAATAAAATTACAAGGTATTCTTTGATGATTAGTGGGCTTTAGAATGTAGAGTAACCAATAACAAGATCTATCCACTGATTATTATTAATAAAAAAAATATTATTATTATTATTATTATTATTATTATTATTATTATTATTATTATTATTTTATTATTATTATTATTATTATTATTATTTATAATAATAGGCCTATATATATACAAAATTATCACTTTTTTATTATTGTGCTTATTAGTGAATCATCGTTCTATTATCATTGTCATGATAGATAATAATAATAACAATTATTATTATTATTATTATTATTATTATTATTATTATTATTATCTTAAATAATAATAACAGCCAATAAAAATGATCGATAGGTTAATGAAAATTAACATACATTTACTTGAAAATTTCAATTGTAATAGCGCAGTACACATTTTTTTTATCGTGTTTAAAGCAAAGTTCCTGAGTTAAATTTTCTGGCAAAACAATCAGGTGAAATTTGGTGATATTAACCTTTTAATTGACCTTAATTCATTCTCAATGTTTCGTTTGACGTAAAGCTATGAATCGAACAGTTAAGCATTAAGTATTGTAGGCGACGTTAAGTACAGGCCTTGGGCACCAAAGGCAATTATGCACTTCAGAATCTGAATACGGCGTCGCATACGAGATGGCATTCACTGCGATCAGATTACGATTGTGTACTTGGTATGGAAAGCCGTTTTAACATTACCTCTCATTTTTATACCTCAATACTCTAAATTACTGCAAATGAGATTAAGCGCTGAAATCGGCGTTCGTAGTACAGCAGTGCGATTAACTGGCACGCATTCTCACATTGCTGCATTATTGCGAACTAGCTTGCACGCATGTAGGCGTTTCTCAATACAGGAGTGCGACATGGCGCGACTGCGCTTACAGATGGGCGTTCTTAGTGCAGAAATAATGTGGCTACACATAGGCCTATATATCGTTGCAGCAGTGCGACTACGCCTAGGATAATAGACGTTTGTGGTACAGTAGGCTTATTCCTTGACCATATGGGTCATGTAACCACTTGAAATAAATAACAAGACCTATATTAGTCGGCATTAGAGGAAATTTATACTGGATAGGAAACGTGTGGACGTGCTGAAGTGGCTGGTATTGGAAAAAAAAAACACGAGTAGATAACCGGTACCTAGGCATAATTATAGTTGAAATCTATTGAGACTCTTGATGAGATATACGATGACATTTTAAGGAATTTAAATTATCGTTTCTGTCATTCTTCAATTATTACGACCTAATCTAAAAGGTTTCGGAAACATCGTTAGGTTGTTATAAGCAAGATCATAATTTTTATAATCCTTGGAAATGACATATTATAACAAACTTCGATGAAACTTTAATGAAACAGTTTGTTAAAGGTCCCGTGTTTGTTGGAGAACCAACCATGGACTTGCACCCCAGAGTTTAACTGATGGCGATTTACGAAGGCGATTAAATAAGGCAAGTCAAGGGCTCAGTGGTAGAGTACGGACGCCGCAACCTACAAAAAAAATCGAGCGGGATGCTGGCCTGGTTCTTTAGGTGGTGGAACAAGTGTTCTCGAAAAAGTAGACCTAGTATAATAGATAAATCGTAGGCCCAGGGTACACTAGTGGCTCAAGTGCACTGTACTTTAAAGAACTCTGTACATCATTCGAGTGGAGTTTCTGTATCTATTTAACCCTGACGTTGTCATTTAGCTGAACACCGTTAGACCTTACTTTTAATTACAGTATTCGCATTTTTATTGGTTAACCTAATAGTCTATATTTTCTATGACATAAATAAGACATAGAAACTTTTGCGGAAGTCTGAATGTCATTGTCTTGACAGGTTGGCTATAGAGCAATATCCAGCATACACATTTATTCCTAATTGAAAAAAAAATAATAATAATTTCATAATATTTATGGTCTGTTCACTTCAGAATGAGATCCGTCACAAGTTTAGTCATGGAGCGCCCTCTACAGGATCACAGTGCATTGTCCTAAATAGTGCGATTTAACCCAAGTTGACGAGTCGTGATTGTCTTGTCTGTTTTTATGTATAGTGTTGTAATACTGTAGTGGAAAGTAGAGAGCCAGTGGGAGATCTTGTGCCTTAGATCATTGCCCACGGCAACAGGTCCGCTTTTAATTCTATTATTTGTGAGTGGTTTAATTTCTTTATTCTTCTTCAAAAAAATCACAATTTTTTATATTAATATTATCGATATTAAGGTTTAACAGTGCTTTAAATCGTTATAGAAGATATAGGCTAATAGGTTAACCAATAAAACTAAGAATAACAGATGCAAGGTTTACAATGTTCAGCTAATTGACAACGTCAGGGTAAAATAGATAAAATAGTTACCGTATTTTCCTTGCAAATAATGATTAAATAAGTACAGTAATTTTCTCAATGTCAAATTGTAAATGCTAGCATCAGGTGTTAACCAGGAAGCGCTGAGTCCTGTTGGATTTGGTGTTAAAGGTTATAAAGGTTAAAGGTTATTCATTTATATTGCGCAAAATACGAGAGTCTCTATGCGCAGAACAAGTGAGTAGATGTAACTGGAAAATAAAAAAATAAATTAAAAAAAAACAAAACACCAACAGCAACCCACAAAAATCCGAAGACTTATTTCCTGTGGGTCATTATGGTGGTGAATGGCAGCAGTGCACCGAGAGAGGGCAGGGGACACGATCTCCGAGGCCCAAGCTGGGGCCAATAGAAATTGCAGGTAGCATTTTTTTTTTTCAATCTTTTCCGCACTCGTAACTGGGGCCTACACCAACCCTTTCCCCTGTTATGTTATTTTCCCTCTCGGCGGCCCTGAATGCCAATACCATTGGAGAAAATCCCCTCTCCGACGAGTGCACTGCGTTAATGAGCAATATTTATTGGATTGGATTTATTCGGTGTAAACACCAAGGATAGCCCACAAAAGTCTTGAAGAAGACTTATTTCCAGTGGGGTCCTTCTGGTGGTGATTGGGCAGTACACCGGGAGACAATCCCTTACTCATTTCCGAAGAGTGTACTGCGTTTTTTAACGTGCACATGGGCCATAAATGCACACAGGACCAACGGCTTAAACGTCTTATCCGAAAGACGATGCGCTATTAATTTGTATTTCAGCCCTGCAACTGAAACACAAGAAGAGGCAGCGATGGGAATTGAACCGGAGACATAAAGATCTCCAAGGATCAGCGTACACACAGTAGCTACCACAATGTCACATCTGAACGCGTACGACAGTGCGCTGTTGAAACTTGCCCAATTTAATCAAGCAGTTACGCAAGGATAATACAAGGCTTGGGATTGAACTGGGGCGATGTTTTGCTGTACGTAACTTCTGCATGAAACCTATTTAATCTAATGGAACCTAATATTTAATAACGTAGATAAGATAGGCTTGATGAAGTACGTACATATCTCTGGTAAAGCGAAAATGTTATAAGCATAGCCGTATGCCTAGTAATAAATAATAATAGCGTAGTAGCGCACATCCATCTAATGTAAGATGCTCAGGTCGCTTGATGTGGACTAGGAACTCGACCAATGGTAAACCTAAGAGGACACAATACTCGAGCGTCGCGCGATGTGCTCGTTCTTATTTTAACTTGATTCAACACGGATTTGGACTAGAGTCGAGTCAAACCGAAACGGGCCGAGCAAAATTTCATGCAGAAATTTCGTACAGAAAAATATCGCTAACCGGGGAACAAGTTCATAATAAGATCTTTACGGAATAACGTAAACAAAGTTCTAGTAACATTTCAACCAACTGTGCTAAGCTGCTCTCAAAATGAACTAGGAATAGAATATCGTACTATGAATATTTCATAAAGAAAATTGAAACTTATGGCAAGTTTCATCAAAATGAACAACTAGAAAAAGTAACGTGTGGGCCAATAATCTATCACATCCTTTATAGCCAGAGTGGCAACATTATTTATCTAAAACATCTGTAAACCATGTAAACCGAATATCTTATCAAATTTAATGAATTAAAAGGGGATAGTGATGACAGGTCTGTCAAAATAATGAAGCAGTTAAGTAGTGCTACACAACTCATTACTAAGATACACGCCAAATTATATTAAATATAATATAAATGCGATTAACAAACTGAGGTTCATTTAAGACATTCTTTTCAAATACCTCTAACGTCCTATCAGGACTATCTATTTGGCAAAAAGCAGTCATGAGCGTCAGGCCGCATTGGAAATGAAGGTAGGAAGCTCACAATCTCACGAGCATCGTCTCTGCGAAAGAAAACCACATTTGGTAGTGAAATGTTGGAGCGTTGGATGTAGAGAGGAAGCGAAAATTACACCTCCAAGAATAGCGGCGAGAAAATTACGATACGATAATACTTTATTGCAATTTGATCTTATAAAGTACAAATTGAAGTTGAACATTACCAAAACTTTAAAAAATTACCAAACAAGAATCTACAGAAAATAAAATCTCGTAATTATGGATGTCAGAGTAATACACGTTAAAATACAGTAAATTAGGGAGATTTAAAATATTTCGAAAGTTTGTGTATTCTGTATTAAAATTACGTTTCTTATGAAGATCCAAGCAAGTATTTTTCGAGATCATCGACGCGTGGTTAAAAGGTCCTGGCACTTTATTTAATTGAACAGCTTCTTTAAAGCACAGCGTCAAAATACGCGCTGCTGTCGTTAAGGACTTTTTGTGTGGTAAAGAATACAAAATTGCTTGACAACCAATACGCGCTCGTTTTGACGCGCTACTGTGATTTCACGAACTAACACAATCTACTTTGATTGTGTTAGTTCGTGATGTGAGCGACGAATTATAATAATTATCTTCACAATTAACC